GAGTACAATCCTTGAAGAAATTTTCCCTAATCGCGAGATTATCTAACATGAAGTCCACTTTTTCCGATTTCTGATTCATTTTAAATGGTTAGGGTATAAAAAGTCTGAAAAAATCTTTGTTAAAATTTGTCCCATGCTACATTGTCATTGAAGAGTTTTTTATTCAAATGACAGCAATTTAAGGCAGAAAGTATAGCAGGATATTGCACAAATAAGTCCTTGGCCAAACCCTAGTAATTCAATTAGACAACCAACTAGCCTCTATTAGAGACATCTAACATGAAAACACACCCAAAATTATTTGAGTTATGTTCACAGGGGTAGCAACACAGGCATCGCATGGAGAGGAAGTAGTCCAAAAATGCTTTGTACTTGAGTGTAAATGCCTTGGTGGCCTCCAGAGGCACGTCTGGGGTTATTCGATAATCGATTGTAGCACGTGTGCACGTTCGACGTCCATTTGTGCCAGTCATGGTAGTGTTGTGCAATCTACGTTCGTAATGCTGATAACCCACCTAGATTTCACTCAGAAATTATAAATTTGCCAAGGCGGACCAAGAGTAAGATTACTCTTGGATAGAAGTGGCAAATACAATTTAACTAAAAATGAGCCACCCAGCTGACTCGTTTGGCACAAATATTTATTTATTTCAAATGAAATGTTTGTGATAGTTGTCATTAACCCTTTATTTGACTTCGGGCCTCACAGAGAGGCGAGAGGGAGCAGAAGAGTAATTCACAGATGTAAAAGAGACAGACAGACACAAATGCAAAGAAAAGGTGAGGTGTGTATTGTGGAAGTGGTCTAATATGACAAACAGTGGGGTGATGGTAGCTTGAAGTCAGAAGTCAACTGTCGGTTTATACACTTTTTGGTGTATGAGTAAACGTTGCCCAAGATGTACCATGTGGAGGTAAGTCTACCACACACCCCATTTTTACTAAAGAGGATTATTGGGTCACCCTAGATGGTTAAGTTTGTATGCCAACCAGTTGTTACCTATTGATTGAGGTTAAAATAGACCGGATGCCTGTCTACCATTAAGCCAAAATTTCAAAGAATCGCCTCATTAGATTTTATTCATAAAAATTTAATTCCTTAGAACAAATTCACACGTTCTGAATTTTGTAGCATTATCCAGACTACTGCGGTTCATTTCTGCAATGTTTTCCACCATGCCAAATTACAACGGATGCTGAAGAAAGTGTAGTCAAAATTCTTTAAAATTGGTGCAAACGAATGGGTTGCAGTGGCTAAGTGGCCCCCTGGTGGAAACTATAAACAATATGCGATTGACTCACCTCCACGTGGTGCACCCTGGGCAACGTATGCTCATACGGCAAAAAGAGTCCATAAGCTGACTTCTCACTTCAAACTACCATCACCCCACTGTATGCTATATTCGACCACTTCAACAGCACTCACCTCACCTTTTCTTTACCTTTGTGTCTGCTGGTCTCTCCACTTTTTGAGACTTTGATGTTACTCCCCTCTGTAAAGCTCGAAGTCAGTTAGGGAGCTAATGGTTACTATCATAAAGACTGCCATTTGATATAAAAGTTAAAAAGACCAATTAGTTGGTAACAAGTTAATTGTTTTGCATTTTAACTTTCCCAGTTATTTTATAGTCATACATAGAAAACCAAGCAAACATTGGTGCAGGTGTCTTTTCTGAACTCTTCTCTTTCCACGCAGCAGCGGGACACAATAGATCCGCTTTTGAAGGAGAAATAGAGGGTATTAAGATAGCACTATGCCAATTATGTTGCCTGGATACGAAATTCACCAAAGCGGTGATACTTTCGGACTCACAGTCAGCAATAAACCCAATTGGAAGCAGAGAGCCACCCAAAACAGCTGAGATAAAGGAATGTAGAAAACTGTATCAGCTGCTGAGAGAGAAAAACAAAACAGTTGTCCTACAATGGATTCCTGGTCACTGTGGCAATAAAGGTAATGAGCTTGCTGACACACTAGCTAAGAAGGGGACAACGATTTTGCAAGTTGACACACTTGCTAAGAAGGGGACAACGAGTGTGCAATTCTGACACACTCGCTAAGAAGGGGACAACAATTTTGCAATGCATGGAATCGGCCGATGTCTTTCCACACAATGAAAGAGAGAATTCCAGACCTCAAGGTTCAACGAACTCAAAGCTCAAACAAGGGACAGCCGTTGCTGAGTTTAACTTTGGCCAAGAATCGAAGCCGTTGCTGAGTTTAGACTACGTACCGGACGGATTGCCTGGCAAAACACCTTCAAAGATTGGGAGTATACAGTCAAGGTGCAACGAACTTAAAGCTCGAACAAAGGAGACGTGGACAGGTTCAACGAACTCAAAGCTCGAACAAAGGAGAAACAGTCAGTTGGCACTCTCCGATATAACCGACTGGCCAGGAATCGAAGCCGTTGCTAGAAGCTCGAACAAAGGAGAAACAGTGGACAGTGGCACTCTCAACATACCCGACTGGCGCCGACTGGCCAAGAATCGAAGCCGTTGCTGAGTTTAACTTTGGCCAAGAATCGAAGCCGTTGCTGAGTTTAGACTACGTACCGGACGGATTGCCTGGCAAAACACCTTCAAAGATTGGGAGTATACAGTCAAGGTGCAACGAACTTAAAGCTCGAACAAAGGAGAAGAGCCGACTGGCCAAGAATTGAAGCCGTTGCTGAGGTTAGACTATGTACCGGATACGATTGTTTGGCCAAACATCTTCACAGATTGGGAGTATACACTCAACCCACATGCCCCCTATGTAACCTACATGAGGAAATGGAGAAGACCCACCTAATTCGATGTCCAGCCCTAAAGACAACGACGGAAAGACAGAGATACTGGGAAGCAAGAAGACAGCTAATGAACTGCTATAAATGTAACCCCACCCTTGGGGGAAGCTGAAGTCAAAGTTTAAGGGCTAATGATAAATATCACAAAGCCTGCCATTTGAAATAAATAAATACTTTATAGTCTTTTACAATTAGTTTGGTCAATACAGAGAAAATTAGATACACGCTTCTCAAATGCTTTTAGCTTGGATATCTTCTCATTGGATACATGTCAGTCATTAATCAACTACCCAATTCCATCTAATCAAAATCGCTTTTCTTCATAGAAAATCCTGGTATTGAGCTAAAGGTCTACGCCATTCTACTGAAAATTCGAGTCTCTGCGTTTTAGAAAAGAAGAAATCATGTTCAGCCTGCTTCAAACCTTAACTAAAGAAAAACAATGCCTACCAATGACGTGGCATCTTAAAGATAAACACAAAATAGTTAAAAGGAAACTTTAAAAAAGCAAAATTTTATATATATACAAAAATATGGAATTCTACTAAGTAGTCATGCTTTCGCCAACACGTTTCTTTGCAGTCAACTTTTGTCGCCTTCTTTTATTCTTCTTCAGCTTCAATTTCCTCTTCTTCGAAGCGGAAATACCTCCTTCTCTAAGATTCAATTCTGGAGCAGGCTTTGTGGGTTGCTTTTCCAACTCAACCGTTGCTTGCTTCTTCGTCTTCTTCTTCCTATTTTTCTTTTTAGAATTTTCTGAGTGCCTTGAAAGGTCTTCCACCCCATAATCATCCTCCTTCTTCGCTTGAGTAGAACTAACTTGAGATAGTGGATTAGAGGTATACAAGTTCGTCAAATCACCAAGATTTGCTGGTACTGGACCAATTGTAATGCTGTATGTCTTAGCGATAGTGCCGAGGTGTTTGATATCACCGTTGGAAGAATGTCCGCCGACAAAACTGATGGCCAAACCACGACGTCCAAAACGCCCAGAACGACCGATTCGATGAAGATAGACAGCGGCGGTTTGAGGGAGATCGTAATTGACAACCAGACCAACAGTCTGAACATCAATACCACGAGCCCATACGTCCGTAGTAACCAGAATACGGCTGAAAATATCACAAAGAGGATTAAGGAAGTAGAAAACAGGCATGAAGTTGAATTGTAATAGTTAACTCACAGTTTATACCACCCAACGTTCAAATCTGGTCAGCTGTTTTCAAACAGATTAAAATTAATTTACGAGTTGCGATAAGACTAAGTAGCTATCGGTAGCAACAATTCCAACAGAGTTAAAAGGATATGCTCTTAAAACTCTGTTCTTAGTTTTGGTACGTATTCTAGGTTCTATTCGACCTCAATTAGAGTATTATATGTCCTAAATAAAGATTTAATTGGGCCATGCAACCTACGTGTTACAACAAAGCTAGTAAAAAACGTTTAAATTTGAGCTGTTGTGTGTTGTTTTAAAGAACAGATTGATATTTTGGGGAATTATTTACTTTATGAAGAACAGCGGCGACAAGTACTCGTTTCTTAAACGAAAATTTGCCCTCACTTATTGATTTTATAAGTCAGGTCTAGAAAAGTTGAAATCAGAAACTTCATATTTGGAACTGCGCAAGTTCAAGATTATGAGGTTGCAGCAGTCATTACATTTTCAAAGCTAAGGAAGTTATTATTACTTCACGTATTTATCTCCTAAACGTGTAAAATGTACATGAATAAAAAAGGAACT